ACCAAGCATGTCTGGGCAGCTGCCCTTTTCCTTAGGGAAAAGTGTGGCAGGACAAAACAGTTAGAAATGAAAAGGCATCAGAAACTCCCTTTACTGATCATTATGAAACAAATTCTGGAACTGAGATTAGGCTACAATAGGTTTACCTTTACAAAATTACTGTGGCGTTACCATAGTAGAGGGGCTGAATCAAATAGTAATACCATGGAATTGGCACATGATTAACGCATTCACATCCCAAGGTACATTAAAAAATAGCTAAATTAAGTTAAATTATTCATCCTCAACATGGATCACCAACAAAAAGTCCATCATGACACAAAATATCTACAATAGATGGGTCACAATGGGTGACTAGTTGTTCAACAAACAACTAGATGCACTAAAATTAAAAAAGAAATCAATCAAAATCAATAATGTTATACTAAGTTCTATTTCAATTTCATATAAATGCTTTCTTTTAAACTTTCTATTCAAAGAAAACCGCTACTTTACATTGTAATAATATTTCACAATATAAGTTTTACTGTATTTTTGATCAAATAAATGCAGCCTTGATGAGCATAAGAGACTTACTTTAAAAACATTAGAAATCTTTCCAACTCCAAACTTTTGAATGGTAGTGCATATGCTAAAAATCACAATATAATAATTGAAAGCATTATATTACCAACCAAATATTAATTTACAGATTACAGTCAACAGTGTTACTGAATTATTAGTGTACAACAGTAACAAAAATATCGGCAATAACCAATAGTCTAAATTTTAAAAACACATCTGCATTTTATACCATTTGTTGTTAAATAAGAGAATGTGTCTTATGTAAACGCTAACGAAGAAACTCATTCAATCAGGTCAAGTAAACCCAAAGCTACCAGTTAAGATGGATTAGTAAATTAGTTGTTTGAGCAACCCATCAACTAGTTGATTTTTAAAATATGTCGTTTTGAACATCCCTAAAAACCCCACAAAACTCCTAGTGTTGTTGACACATGTACATTCATCAACAGAAATAACATAGCAGATTAGACTCAACTAAATAAATAACCCTTAAAAATAATATTAGGGCAAAATGTAATCAATGGTTCAACAAGTCTAAAAATGTCCCTATAAATTAAACATGAAACAATCATTATGAATAAAAGACACAACATAGCCAAGACAAAACAAAGACTGGTCTTACACAACTTAATAAACCTGCAAGAACACGCAGCTGAGACAGTCAAGGCCTGTGTGGCAAACCTGACTTTGCCACACAAAGACACACACGCAAACAGATACATACAGCCCTACCTTTATTCCTGACCAGCATGCAGTGCTTCCCAGTCCTAGTCAGCTGACTGATCCACAGCTCCCAGTACATGATCCCAGTTCCAGTATAAGGGCTAATGGGAAACCACTCTAGCCCCTAATCCTCAGACTACGGGTTTAATTCACACTACAACACTCAGTCGAAAATCTGCAACGCTCCTCTTGGTTGAATCATTTCAGAGTCTCCGGTGCAGCTTAGAGCTCAGAGTTTCCAACCCCGCAGCCGGAATGCCAGTGCGACTTGATTGTGGGCCTCCATGCCAACTGCCCTGAGTAAGAAATGTCCACATGTGCTTGTGTGAGATATGGGAAGAGTGGAGTTCTGAGGGTGGTTTTATTGGATGTCTTGTCAGGGGAGGCATGTGGGGGGCCCGTTGGTTTTAGAAGGGGGTAGGAACAAGCAGATGGTTCCATTTCTACACCATGTGTGCTGCCTAACCAACATCCTCTTGGGAGAGGCTGGAAAAGCATGGAGGTGTGGAAACTCTAGTGCAAAATGCCTGTGCCACATTAAACGTACCCCTGAGTTTCAGAGCAACATGTAAAATGTATTACGATGGGACGCTTAGTTATTCAGTTACACCCAAAACCTCTCAACAATAATCAAAGACATCAGCACACAAGACCTCAACAGACTAGATGACATGAAATAAAAGGATTCTATGAACATAATAAAAGACAAAGAGATTCAAGTCTCAATTCTAGACTACATAGGCCAGACAGACAGACAGGCAGACGTAATAACAGACACAGACAGATGTAATGACAGACATACAAGATAGATATTGACAGACAGACAAACAGATAAAATGACAGATATTGACCGACAGACAGACAGAGACACAGACAGACAGGCAGGCAGACAGACAGACAGATAGCAGAGGTTGCGTTAGACTTTAACATTGTCCATCATTTTGACGGACAGGGTCATAAAAATTCCGTCATAATATGTTATTACCCCGTCATTTTACTTTTCATATTTTAATTATAATAACATTTAATTGCCTGTATTTTTGTTCACAATTTCATTTTTAATAATGAACCTACAGGACCGAGCATATAGGCTTAGAGCATATAGGCTTATGCATGTATTTATTTATGAAGAGAACAGATGAACAGAGACTGTGCATCACTTTTCATGTTCAACACCGCAGTGTACGGAGCCCGGGAAGTCACCTGTAGGAGAAAAAAAAAAACAATCCGTGGCGGCGGTTTTGCAATCCGTCCCCTCAGTTTATAAACCGTACTCACGAATTCTTCAACTGTTCCCTCGGTTTAACAAATCGTGCCCACGGATTAATAAACTGTACTCACGAATTTCCAATCGGTGCGCTCAGATTTTGTAAACCTGAATAAATAGTAAACGTCACCAAAAATTATTGAGGTCATGTACATATATTGCGCGATAAGTTGATATATTGATTATTGCGACAGGCCTACACGCATGCACTCTCAAGTGGCCAAGACCGCAAGTGTGGGTATTTGGACAAGGGGGAAGTCTGCAGGACTGTGGCTGCATTCCACTCCACTTTTAGACACGCACTCGCGAATTTCCCTACGCACTTCCCCTCGGGGGAATCCCCGCTGCCATTTTGAAGTGCATTCCACTTCGTGAAGTGGACGAGGGAAGTTTATATGGACAGACCCTCGACCCCTCGATTTTGACCGAGGGAGCGAGTCTGCTTCATATGCACACTTCAGGCCGCTCCATAG